AATGTTAGATGGAACCAAACCAACAAGAGATTTATTGCATCAAAAAAGAAATTAAAGTATAATTTTTCTTTCGCATGACTTAGAATCCTATTTATACTTAGAAAACAGCAGGCTCATTCTAAAAAATAAGTTTTAAATTTAGTAAGAGGAAACCTCAACCAACCAAAAAATCCCATAAAAGCAAACTACAAGCTACGATAACCAGCTATAGTACCGGAATTACAAGTCACAAATGGAGGAATTCCACAAGTCACATAAGCATAGTTAGGGAAGAGAGCTGCAAATCATCCAAGGGTCACCGATCTATGTTGGGAATAGAACAGCAAGTCCACGTGTAATTGAAGATTAAAATTCTGGTCGAGGAATGAAGAGTAACAAACTCTTCAAGAAAAAAACTTAGGGCCTGCTTGGTTGGATGTAAAATAAATGTAAAGTATTTCAAATGCAGAGGTATAGCGTTTATAAGAGACACTAGAGTTTTCACGTGGAAACTCTTAAAAAGGGAAAAAGCCCCGAGACTTGGCCCATAATCGACATGAGACAGAGGTCTAAAAGACCGTAGTCTGGCGACAAAGGTTGGAAGGAACGTTGTTGGCTAGAAATGGTGGTAAGAAAGACTGTAATCTGGCGACGGAGGTCGAAAGGGCCGCAGTCGGCAGGTAACGAAGGTCTGAAAGACCGTTATCTAGCGACGGAGGTCTGAAAGGACCATAGTCGGCGATGTTGGTCGGAGAGGCCATCGTTGGAGATGATCGATGGCCGGGTAAGAGTCTGAAAGATTTTGGTGATAGTTGTTGGTCAGGCAGAAGTCCGGCGAAGGTCGGTGGCTGATTATAAGTCCAACGATAGTTGGTGGCCGAGCAGAAGTCCAGTGACACTCGGTGGTTGGGAGGAAGTCCAGCGAAAGTCCAGTAACAGTCGGTGGTCGGGAGTAAGTCCGATGACAGTTGGTGGCTAGATGAAAGTCCAGAGACAGTCAGTGGTTGAGAGGAAGTTCGACAACGGTGAGTGGTCGGGCAATGGTCGAGGAGGAGCTTGGTGCAAGAGAGATCAGATTTCTCTTTCTCTCCTCATTTCTGTCACGATCCGGTCCAGTTAGCTCGTAGATATGAGGCGGGAACGAGATCGGACATGTAAATTAAGTACTCATCATCAGTTCCATGCAATTCTAAAGATATTCAAGAATAATAAAAGCGTCTCTAAACTTTCATGTCAATGTCACAGGTCTATCACAATGTACAATATGGCAATAAATTTTTTTCTTTACACATACTCTGCATGCCATCCAAAATAACAAAATAACTACAACAACTACTACTACTAAAGACAGTAAAGGAACCTGTCACCCGGTGCGCGTCGACTGTAGGTAAACCTCGGGTGATCAGCCATCACCTAAGAGTCGGGTCTCCTGAAAATTTCCCAAAACTAGGGAGTGAGCTACGCTCAGTAATTGACAATATGGCTAAAGTTGGTGTACATGTAGATTCTAAAACTACAAAACTACTCATGAAATATTAGATGTCTTAATGCATGTGAACCATGATATGCTTGATATGCTTGCCTAAAACATAAATTAAGAGTTCTTGATACAAGAGAACATGAAATACTTACATATGTGTCATTTCATAATGTATACATCCGTCCCGGAGTACCGAATTGTACTGATCAGGTACACATTGTTCATGGTCATTCATTTTCATTTCGTTTCGTATTGCCTCAAAGGCCTATTTGCTCAAAGAGCCACTTCTTGGTACTCTGTCATCAACAATCACAAGCAATATAGCATGAATATGATAGGAAGCTTTCATATGACACTAAATAACCATTGCATGACTATGATAAGATGATTTCAACCATGATAAGATGCTTTCATAAGATACTAAGTAACCCTTTCATGATTTGTCATGATTTGACATAAGAAACAAAACTATTTCATGGCTTGACATAAAAACTTTAATAAACAAATATAGTTATAATGAAATGCGCACTTTCCTTAGCCAATAAAGTCACTTACCCTTGAGAATTCGTGCTTGGAAAGTTTCCCGCACAAGTCCTCGCCTCCTTTCTTAATTTCAACCTAAAGGAAAACAAGAGATTTAAATCTCTACGACTTTATTTAACTCAACACAATGTTTAATTTTTATTTAATTTAATTATGATTTTCGGATTTAATAAATTCTCAAAATTTTGACTTTCTAATTTGGCTAATTTCTTCCCTTAAACATGCCAAAACTTCCCCTTCATCTAATACATAATTAATATTTAACCATTTTCGGATTTATAATAATTAATAATTAAGAAAATTATTTTCTTTCAAATTTCCAAATTTAGAGGCTTCCCCAAACCTTTAGAAGCTAAATTAGGGAACATGCAACCCTTAAACATTTGTAATAAAAAATCAAAATCAAAATCCTAAACCTTCCCAAATTTTTCCACTAAAAAATTTCTAATAAAAAATCAAAATCTTGTTACTAAAAAGCTTCCCTTACACTCCTCTATCCAATCCTATAACAGTTTAAAAAAATGAGAAATCCTAATTTTTAGACTTAGTGTTTTTCTTAAAAAATTTTAACATGAAGGGTAGGAAATCGTAGGTCAAGACAAGCCCTACAAATTTCCTAAAGAAATTTCAAAAAAACTCAAACTCTAAAATTTTTCTTTCAAGAAAACTAAAAAAAAACTTCAAATGCTTGAAGGAATACATACCCCAAGTCTTCCTTTTGCTTTTCCTAAAGATTCTTGCCGGAATCTCGCCGGCTGCCGGCTTGGAAGGAGCTCCCGCCGCTTCCCCCTCTCTCCCGTCGTCCTCTCTCTTTGGGTCGGCCGTACAAAACAATAAGGGACCGAAATAATCAGTCCCTTAAGGCTTATGAGGGTTTTAGAAATGAAACTTACGCATGTGCCCTTAACCCTATCATTTCCTTAAGAGATCTTAGGGGTAAAAATGGAAGTTTAGCCAAAATTTACTTAAACAATCTTCGGCGAATTTTAATTCTCAAATCGTGCAAAATTAGGTATAATTTCTTTATACCGTTTCGATCGAAATTTCGAGACGAATCTAATGAAATTTATTTCGTCGAATTCCGACGACATCGAAATTTCACTTAAGTTCGTTGCGGCGCATCGATATGCGTGCGACGCACTTAAATGACGACTTTCGGGTTTTACAATATCTTCCCTTCCTCCCTCTTTGCTTCCTCCTCTCCCTTCTCTTCCTTGCTTGGGGTCCCCCTAAATGAAGAATGAGAGGTCTCTTTATAATTTTTTGGAAGTGGCATGACCAGTAATTAGGAGGCAGATCAAGGATATGTTGGGAGAGGTTTGAATGGACGATCGATATTGATCCCCTTGATCATGGAACGTTTACTGGGCATTTGAATGTCTTAATAATATCAAAATTAGGTGATCTTGGGCTTGTTGGATTCGTCTCGTCGAGCCACTCAATTCAACTATAAGCATGTCACGTTTGGTAATCCAAATTATGGTTTGAACCTTATAAAAGGCGCTTTGAGTCTTTGATCTAGACCTATTTGGGCTCATACTAGGCCTAATTTGGTGTCGTTGGGTTTATCTTTTCAGGACGTTTAGTTCGACTATAAGTTTGCTGAAATCGGAGTTTGGATGATCCTAAATTTAATTTCAGAAGTTTTCAACTTAATTTTGTTTCGAGATTCGCGCCCGGTCAAGATAATTTTTTATTATATATCAAGTGCAAATTAAGATTAAAACAAAATTAAATGTAGAATTTTATAATAATTATAGATCTTCATCAACATCCAATTCATCATGAAAGGATATTAACCATATAAAATTCTTGTATTGGTGCGGATTTGATAGCCTTTATAGGAGAAAACAATGATTTTTCTTTAGTTTGAAATATTCATCATAGGTCATGTAGTCTAAACAAGAATAGTTGTAATATCATTTAATATCTAAAGCTCTATATAAAGTTTAATGTAGTGTTTTTGGTAGAAAGCCGCATCAATAAATTTGTAGAGAAAAAGTATAGCAGTTTAGACACAGACAATAGATGTGGAAAAATAAAAGGAGAATGAAATAAAGCGATAAGAATATAAAAAAAAAAAAAGACGTAAACCCCAGATAATACGTAGAGGTTGTGCAAAAATAAGTGTATAGTTCTGATCTGCTAGCAGTAAGTACGTTTTAAATTTGCAAATTCGTACACATTTTATGCTAGTTATAAATCATAATTATATAGATTTCAAAACTCATTATTTAATGTCCTGAACATTTCATGCAAATTAAATAACAAAACAATTCATCAATTGGCATCCAATCTCAAAAAAATATACATTGGAAACTGTACAGAACGATTTTGTTTTAACCTCATTGAGCTATATAAAGATGATTATGGAATGTATAATGTCACTCTGCAAAAAGTTTGGCACATTTTTTTCATTTGCTGAAGCATTTCCCTTTGAAGATTTATGAAGACTTGCAAGTTCAAACAAGAAATATAGCAAAACAAGCAATGCAAAGATAGAATTACTTACAAAATTGAAGGTGCCTTCAAAAATGCACGGGCAAGAGCTACACGTTGCTTCTCTCCTCCACTTAACTGTGACAGAAGTAAGCACTTCTAATTAAGCATGCTTAAAAAGGGAAGCCTGGATCTAAATGTGGAGAGTTACTAAAAGCTAAATCCAACTAGAGCTGGTAAATGAGACGAGTATTGAGATGGTTTTACTTAATTAATCTATGCATGTCCTTAGCACATGTTAAAATCATGTGGAGTTCTTCGGGCACTGTTTCTATCCACAGATTCCTTGTAACCGTGCATGATAAAAGGAAAAAGACTTGCTGTCTAAGGCTTCGTTTGGGACAGCTTTCTTTATGATTTCTAAAGTGACTTTCTAGTACAAAAATTTCTAATTCAAAATTTTTTTGAACTAAAACGTTATTTTAGAAAGCAGCAAAAAAGTTTTCCCAAACGAAACCTAAATCTACGAAGATTAGTTGCATTGTAAGTAATCACTACTCTGCATCCTAACTGCACAAATGAAAATTTGAAAAAAAAAAATCTGTAATTTAGGTTGTTGAGTGCCCACATCACTGATATCAACAAACAGCTAAATATAAATTCTAGCTGTATCAAATTTCCAACAGAACAATTGACTAAATTTTTTTAGCCCACAGAGAGCATCTAAACAAAATTAACACGCTAAAATCTCTTTAACAACTCTGCTATCACAGTAAACAACAGAACCAGTCTATATAGAGAACTAAGTACCTTAAGTCCTCTCTCTCCAACAATAGTAGAATACATTTCTGGGAAATTCATGATGGTATCATGAATAGCTGCACACCGAGCAGCATCAAAGACCTAAGAATTAGGATAAAAACAATAAGAAAAATTCTTATTAGTTAATAAAACTTTTATTATCTATTTGTCTACCTCCTCTTCTGTTGCAGATAATCGTCCATAATGAATATTGTGAAATATTGTGTCATTGAAGAGTACCTGCAGAGAAATTAATCAGCCATGCAAATTTATCAATGAAAGTACTGTCCTTTTTTAGAGAATTTAATAGAGCTGAAGTTATACCTCAATTCTAAACAAGGTCAAACTAACGCGCCCGTGAAAGCTATAAGAATTTAAAAAATTATGGAGGGGATTACTTTACGGTTTAGACTTTTAGATATTTTCTCTAGTTTTAGTTAAGTTTTCACTTTTTTTCTTTATTTATCCACCATTGTTGATATTTTCTTATAACATTTGTCGATTCTTTTTAATTTATTTTAAATATTAATTTGAAGGGTTCATGAGCTTTTCATCAAGGTGAGCTGGTATATTTACTAGGTATCATCCTTGGATTAATTTTAACTTTACCGAACTACTTGTGAAAAATTATATGTTTGAAAACTTTCTATTTCAAATTAATATTATATATTTAATTCATAATCACATTATCAGCAAGGCACATCTAAAATTCAGAAGATAAAACAAAGGAAGTAAAATTCCAATCAAACAAAACGGAAAATTGTTCAATTGTCACGTTGGAGCCATCATATTACTTAATTCTGCATGACAAGTCCTTTCTACAATTTTGTTTGAATGAAATTTTCCTCAGAAATGACATTTGAGTTTTGGATGCAAGTGTAACCATTTTAAATTATATAAAGTTGATTTGTACAATTGAAATTCTAGGTACCAAAACTATAAGAACTAGAAAGTAGTTTACCCAATATTTTTTTTGTTTTTAGAAATAGAAATCAATTTGAAATAGAAAATATTTAAACATATAATTAAGTGTATTGATATTGAGAAGGAAATAGGCTCATTATAGAAATTCATATTATTTTGACATTTTTTGGGTAATGTTGTATGTAACACACTAACACTTGACATAAATAAGACCTAAATCCATCTATTTACAATAACACAACAAAAATCTTGAAGAGCAAACAAGACTACCAATTTTTATTATTAATGATTTGGTATCACACACAAATACGTGTGCTTACTAATTCATTTTAAATGCTTGGGTATAAGCTTTGTAAATAATAAAGATTTTTTATGCGCATAAGCAGATCTTTTTTATTTCTACAAAGACAGAATTCATATAAAATTTCATTGCTAGGAAAATAAACGCAAACAAATGGTAGTAGTTCTTGCCAAAATGGCACCTCTTATGGAACTATAAAAGAAAAATAAATTGCAGAAATAGACCTGATATTTCAGGAAACTGTATAGTGCAAGAAATTATGAAATAGAAATATGCAAACATGCTAGGTGAGCAAACGGAAATAGTGAAATATATAATAGACTTACAGTATCTTGTGGCACAACACCGATACACTTACGGAGACTTTCCAAACTTAAATCTCTTATTTCTTGACCATCAATCTGAATCTGTAAGAAAGGAATATGGTAGACATTAAGGAGGAAGAAGCTCCTATGATCCACATAATGAAACATTAACTTAATTGAGATGCACAAACTACGAGTCTCAACTCTCACTAACTAGAACGCTTCAAGTTCAAGAAAGTATATAATTGAAATATTATGCTTAGCAAGTTTCTATTAGTTTATTGGTTGATCCTTTGGTTTATGGTAATTGAACTCCATGATTCCTTGATTGGGCTTCAATTTGTCTATTTGCCTTGGGCCTATGGTTGGACTTTAGTTGTTGGGTTCTCTGATTAAATAGATACTATTTGTTGTTGTTGTTGTTGTTTGGCTTTAGATGTAGTGTGATTTGTTTGGTAGTTATTTCCACCTTGACTTGTGGTCAGTTCGGAGATCCACAGATTCACAGTTTGGCAATGACGCACGGACGCTTTTAAATGGCTTTGGTGTCGGTGTTAGACACATTGCCAACTAGCCAAAAATTGCATCAGAATTTTTTCTGTGAAATTAAACTCTTATGCTTATTAGACACAATGGGGCACAGAGAGGATATGTAAATGACACAGGAAGGACACATGAGTGTGCAATTCAGTATTCAAATCCGTTTTACTTATGAGAGTTGCCTTAATCACGTATTGACTCCCTTCTTCATATCTCACATGACTCATATCTCCATAGCCATAACTAAAGGCGATTCGATTTACCCTCAAAGTCTTGCATCTCCACCTTCACTGAAGCCTGAGACTTCGTCTCTTGCTCGTCTATTTTGAGTCCCCTCCTTCGCAAAAGCCAAAGACTTCATCTCCCCCTCATTAATCTTGCGCCTCCAAGTTGCATCAAAGTTGAAGATGGAGAAATCTCACATATTCATCACAATCAAAGCACCATAACCTAAGGTTACTAGTACGGTAATGTTCTGTAACACAACCAACTCAAACGAGATTTGAATAGTCTAATTTATAATTGTTGTCCAGCTCCTAGCTTCCATCATTTTATTATTTTATTAAAAGTTTTGGTAAACTAAAGAAAAAATAGTACTTTTTTATCAATATTTTCTAAAAACCTCAAGCTTTTATCCCACAATGTGGGGTCGACTACATGAATCTTTTTTTCTTCATTGTGTTCTATTAAGAGTCAAATTCTCTTTTAAATCTAATAAAGAAAGGTCATTTCTAATATTTTCTAACCAAGTCTTTTTAAGTCTACATCTATTTTTTTTAACATAAGTCAAATCTAATGCATCTACTTTCCAAACTGAGTCATCAGAAGGCCACCGTTTTATGTGACCAAACCATCTAAAGCAACTCTCTCTAATCATATCTTCCATTGGAGCTACTCCAACCTTTTCATGTATACCCTCATTTCGTATCATGTTTCTAAAAGTAAAGTCACTCATCCACCTGAGCACCCTCATCTCTACAATACTTAACTTAATAGTACTTTTCTATCAATATTTTCTATATTTACAAAAACTTTGATATAAAAATCTATCAGAGCAATTCATAGAAATTTTGTCCAAGGAAATGTTAGCTTAATTAATACAAATGATATTTCCTTAAACAAACTTCAAGATTAAACTACATATCTCATCATTAAAGACACATGAAACAAACAACATGCTTGGATTCAAGTTTAAATTACAATGGAGTTGGGCCAAGGAATAGTTTCTTTCATGACATTGCACTTCATCTTCTGATGTTTTTAATAGACGACAATAACAACAATAACAACAACATCAAGCCTTTATCTCACTGTGGGGTCGGCTACATGAATCCTTTTTTCTCCATAGTGTCCTATTAAGAGTTAAATTCTCATTTAAATCTAAAAAAGAAAGGTCAATTGTATTATTGCACTTCATCTTCTAATGTTTTTAGAAGAGAATGATATAAATTAAATACTTCATATAAATAATTTATCAAGTATAAAACTCTATCCACAGCGTGTCATATTCTATTTTTTATAATTATATCATGTCTCCGTGTACACGCTTTACTCTCCTAACCAGATCATTAGAAGGTTCTTCCCACTATGTTGCCCCTGATGGATTTTTCCCTCTAACATTTTTCCTCCACCCTCTAAGACAACTCTATCATCTCTCAGCCCCCTAGGCCTCAGTATCCTGAGTTCGGCCTGTATGTCCTCCCTATGCCCCTTCATGAAATTCCACTCCAATCCTTACTCAGAAATCCTCCTCAATCTTCTTAGACAATAGCTGTGTTTGAGCAAAGAATTGCTCATGGAGGTCCCCTTCCCAAATGGCTCAGAAACGTTCCAACAAGCACTCCTTAAACTCTCCTCATGAGTAGATCGGATATCTCGCCTCCGTCCACTAGAACCAGGCTAGGGCTTTCCCTTCCAGACATAGACCCGTCGCCATGAGCTTCTCCCCTTCAGTAAACCCATTAATGGAAAAGTAACGTTCTACCCGATATACCCAATGTTGAGCATCCTCCCCTTCAAAGACCGGCATCTTCAACTTCCTTTCCCTCGCATCCATCCCCCAATGGTTTCTTCCCCATTGGTTCCCCTGATGAAGAGATGGTGTGATTCCCTTCCTTCCTCCCTTGGTTGATGTTGACCCCATGGTTCCCCCCAACCACACCCTTTTCCATTCCACCTCTCCTCGTGTCCGGATAATCGCCTAAAGAAGTCAGCTTCCTTCCTCCTTGCTGTCATCCCTTCGGAATAACCCGATCCGCCCACCAACAGGGCTCCACGTGGAGGTCCTTGAGGGTAAACTTTCTCTACTTCATCATCTTCCTCATGGATACCTTTTCCTCGTGATGCCACCCTAGGAATCCTCGGTGATGCCTTCGATTGCATCTCAAGCATATTTTTCATCATCTCTTCAAAGTCCCCGAAGTGGTTTTCGATGGCCGAGAGTTTTCCTTCCACCCCGGAATATTTTTCCTCTACTCTGGCCTAGAGTTGTTCCATCTCTCCCTCTAACGCATCCATTTTCTTTGCTTCCATGACTTGGATCTACACTCAGATTGCAAAATCCACAAGGAAAATTTACTGTTCCGCCTAAAAACTCGTTCTAATACCAATTTGCTATAAAACAAGTTCAAGAATCACCCAAATAGTGGCTGAAATTGAAAATTTCAGTAAAAATATAGCATTTTTTGAAGAAATCTCTCGACAAAACAATAGGAAAACTTGATAATTGAAGAAAAGTGGAAGGAAATAAGCAAAGATACAATGGATCTTCAATTCGAGAGCTCTTCAATTCTCTAACCGATGGTTAGAACCCAAAACCTAAGAAGAAATTTAGAAAAAACACAAACAATTGCATAACCCCCAACCCTAATCTCTTCCCTTCTATTAGAGAATACAAAATAAGAGCCAAAAGACTAAAAAGCCCTCCCCAATTTAATTTTTCCTCCTAAACCGCCCCCTCATTCGAATTGGCCATTGATTCATGGGCCCCACAAGGGGACTGGCT